GTCATTTACATCAGGAAGGAGGTCTTGTATCTGGGAGTAGAGAGCTAACTATGGAGCACAATGGCTGGTCGGTGACTTAGTCTGATGTTTTGTGGAGCATAGAAGTCTTCACCTCTGGCTTGAGGTACAGGGCTGTCTTTTGGACTGAAGGGTGTGAGATATTTTCTGGTAGTTGGCATTTCTTGAAAATTCCCTTGATGTACCTTACACAGAGCAGAAATAGCAGCATTAGCATGGATCAGAGGTACTGGGCTTCATCTGTTTCATTGGACCTTGGCTAGGAAATATCATTTCAGTGGCATAAAACCTGCTTAGCTTATGGAAAGATGGTAATATGTCATTTCTATAATTGTTTCTATATATGAAACATAGAGTGGCAGGGAGATGCAGTATCACACCCCTTCCCCACAAGGACTGAAGATTGGGATTTGTGTCCTTGCCATTACCTAATGGTTACAGCCCTGTCACTAAAATTTACATAGTTTCTCAGTTGTGATTTGAGCAACTCCAACTTACTGATAGAAAGTTTAACTTTTTCTCATCCCTGTATAGAAAATGCCTTGCCTCTCAAGAGAGGGCAGAGTGGGGCTGGGCACAGTGGCTCACACCTGTAATCCCAGCACTTTGGGAGGCTGATGCAAGTGGATCACCTGAGGTCAGGAGTTGGAGACCAGCCTGGCCAACACGGTGAAACCTCATCTCTACAGCAACAGCAAAAATTGGCCAGGTGTGGTGGCACATGCCTGTAGTCCCAGTTACTCGGGAGGTTGAGGCAGGAGAATCACTTAAGCCTGGGAGGCAGAGATTGCAGTGAACCAAGATCACACCACTCCAGCCTGGGCAACTGAGTGAGACTCTATTTAAAAAAAAAAAAAAGGGCAGAGGGAAATGGTGACAATGCCTGGAGCATCCCGGCACTGTATACTCTACTGAGTGCCTCTCTTCATCCCCTCATCCTGCTTACACACACACACACACACACACACACACACACACACACTGTCTTGCAGCTGGATTTGTGACTTTTTGTCTTAAAATTTTTATTGGGGCCGGGCGCAGTGGCTCACGCCTATAATCCCAGCACTTTGGGAGGCTGATGCGGGTGGATCACGAGGTCAAGAGTTCGAGATCATCCTAGTCAACATGGTGAAACCCCGTCTCTACTAAAAATACAAAAATTAGCTGGGCATGGTGGCGCGCGCCTGTAGTCCCAGCTACTTGGGAGGCTGAGGCAGGAGAATTGCCTGAGCCCAGGAGGCGGAGGCTGCGGTGAGCCGAGATAGCGCCATTGCACTCCAGCTTGGGTAACGAGCGAAACTCCATCTCAAAAAAAAAAAAAAATTTATTGGAGCAGTTGTGGGGAGTGTCCTTCCTAATACACTGTTCTCACCTCCCAACCACTGCAAATCTCTTACTAGATATTTGGTTTTCATAACAAAGGTAAAGAATCCCAGGTCCATCTAGCATACAGGGTAATGGTGATCCTCCAGGGCCATTGGCACTTCAAGGTGGTCCCAGACCTGGGAGATTCTGATGGTATCTTCCCTAAAATTAAGTAAAAAACCTGAGTACCCTAGAAGCAATTGGCCATCATCAGTTTCAGCTCCATCAGTGTATCAGGACCCCCGTCCTCAGCCCTATTGCTACAGTTGCTTAGCTGTCTGCCTCAGCCAGATCCTTGCAGTTAGGGCGTGCAGTCGCTGCCCGTCCCCACCCGTCCACTTGCGCTGTAGTTTTTGAGCTTTCTGCATTTCACAACTATGGTGCCTAAGGATCTTTTTCTTTGGGATTGATGAAATTGTTTTTCTGAAAGATAACTCAGCATCTGTTCATGAAAACCCTTAATATTGGCCAGGCGTGGTGACTCATGTCTGTAATCCCAGCACTTTGGGAGGCTGAGGTGGGCGGATCATGAAGTCAGGAGTTTGAGACCAGCCTGGCCAAAATAGTGAAACCCCCATCTCTACTAAAAATACAAAAATTAGCCTGGCATGGTGGCACACGTCTGTAGTCCTAGCTACTCAGGAGGCTGAGGCAGGAGAATCACTGGAACCTGGGAGGCAGAGGTTATAGTGAGCCAAGATTGCACCCCTGCACTCCAGCCTGGGCAACAGAGCGAGACTCCCACTAAAGAAAAAAAAAAACCTTAATATTATACATTAAGAGTTTTCCCGGGCCGGGCACGGTGGCTTACGCCTATAATCCCAGCACTTCGGGAGGCCGAGGCAGGTGGATCACAAGGTCAAGAGATCGAGACCATCCTGATCAACATGGTGAAACCCCGTCTCTACTAAAAATACAAAAAATTAGCTGGGCATGGTGGTGCGTGCCTGTAATCCCAGCTGCTCAGGAGGCTGAGGCAGGAGAATTGCCTGAACCCAGGAGGCGGAGGTTGCAGTGAGCCGAGATCGCGCCATTGCACTCCAGCCTGGGTAACAAGAGCGAAACTCCGTCTCAAAAAAAAAAAAAAAAAGTTTTCCCAGGCTCTACAGTCCCTCAGACATTGCATCCTGAACAGACTGAGGCAAGCAGGCCAAGACTTCACCAAGGCATAAATGGTCCCCCATACTCCCTTTTGACCAGGGTATATCACTTGTGTCTGCAGTCTAAGTATGTAAGAGTTGGTCAAGTTGCTCTATGCACCTTAGCGCTTTCCAGAGATCTCAACTCGAGACTGCCCCCAAGGGTGGACAGAGCATCCTGACAGCCAGTGTGCGCCCATGACTGCCTTAATTAACATTCTTCTGCTATTATGGGGCCTGTCTGGCAGCAAACAGGGTCTAAGAAGGTTCAAGGTTAGCTTCCAGTTAAAATCCCATTTTATATCGGGATGCATGAGCTACGGATGATAGCAGAGATCCTGACGTTTCTAGAAGTGTTAATTGTCTCTTTTTTCTAAATGAACTCCAACTACTTAGAAAACAGCCCCTGCCCATTAGTCAAAAAATGTGACCATCACCCCTAAAGTAACTTCCAAACTTAGTTCGGTGAGAGGTATGCTGGTGCTGCCTATTGAGTGTTGATTTTCGCTGCTGCTAACCACTTTCAATGCCAGAAGTACGTAACAATGGTAATGTAATGTCAAAGTGGTTACTAAAGATTATAGCCTTCACTTTTTGATGTAAAAGCTAAAAATTTTTAAAAATCCTCCCAGTGAGCAAGCATGGCCTGCATTTCTCAAAAGTGAGAACCTCCATGGCAGCCTAGAAAACGTCTTCTCAGAAGAACTTTTGTTTAACGCGTCTCCTAAGCCCACAGGCCTCCTGTGTCCCAGCCACCTCTTCTGTTTTCATATTTAAACCCGCTCTCCACTCCCATTGAGCTGCCCTGACAGCACTGTCTGCAATGCAGAACCATAGTAAGGTTAGTTTCTCAGATTGGGAGCCTGCAACGCCATACGGCCAACATTGCCTTTGCCACACCACTGCCACCATCCCCACCACCGCCCTATGGTTGGCAGATGCATTTCAGAAACCCTCAGAGAGCCAGGATAATTAGGCACCCCATCTGAATTGGCCACGTGAGTGACAGGCGCTTCTGTCTTGGGTTCTTGCTTTTGCAGACTCCAGGGAAGTCCTATCTAGAGGTTGATGGCAGAGACTCCTAGTCTTTCCCATGAGGGGTTTATAGGAATCAAATTGGGATTATTTTATTCCAGAGACTCTTAGTCTTTCCCAGGAGGGGTTGATAGGAATCAAATTGGGATTCCTTTATTCCTTTGGCTTTGGGTTTTGGGTTTTTTGTTTTTGTTTTTGTTTTTTTTTTTCAGTTTGTTTGTGTTTTTGGTATATGGGGAGTGATTTTGTTTCTGAATAAGAAAAAGAAGAGGCAATCATGGCCCTTCCGTGGGTTTATAAAGTTTTGAGCAGTGTGTAAGCCACAAGTAAGGAATCCTGAAAGTCTTTTACCCAGCAAACAGTCTTAAAAATGTCTTACCTAACTCCTTCTGCAGGTGGCTAAGTACAAAAAAATAGGTTTCTCATTGTATTCAAAATAGTGAGTAGGGTCCCTGGATAATACACAATGGTAGTTGACATATTTTCTCAAACACAACCAGAAAACCCACTTCCAGTATTTGTAAATCACCTTTCAACGGAAAGAGTGACCATGTATTCCATGTATTTCTAGTTTGATTACCAGACTTGACATTACAAAGAAACCTCAGTTCTTAGACAGAATTTCTTTTATTTTTCTTCTTTTGCTCCTCACAATCACTTTCCTGGTGCCGTCACCATCTATAAGGTCTCAGAGCAGAGGATTATTCATGGTAATAAATGGGGGTGCGGTGCAGCCATTCCATTAACACCCACAGGAGGACAGCTGTTCCAAATGTCCCCACCCACCCATCTTTCAGTACAGGTGAGACATTTTCAGTTCATGAGCTCCAGACCAAATCCCAGGCCAGCCCTTGTACCAAAAGCCTTTTTTAGAAGGCTTAACAGTCTATTAGGAGTGTCTCAGGAAAGATGAGCCATTTCTTTCGGGGAGAAATATAGTTACAGATGGAAGTGTGTGATTGCGTGTCTGTGTGTGTGCGCACGTGAGTGGGTGGGTTCATCCATGTGCATTTCACTTCCATAAAGACCCAGCCCAAGCTGCTGGGAGCCATGTGTTCCTGAGGATTCTCAGAGGTAAACAAGTGACAAGTGAGCTTCTGAAATTAGTGTCTCAGCAAGCTGGCTTTAGGAATGAGCCCCATTTATCAAGCAGAGAAAAGAATAATAGCAGAAAAGATAAAGATGAAACCAAAAATATATACCCCCAATGGAAAAAAATGTTGATTCAGCAATTCCCATTGGACGTATTACATGCTCTAATTTATTATATTATTATTTGTCTGTCTTTGATCTTTGCCCATTGTACTCAAAAAAATGTTGAGGTGTTGATTGCGATTTTTAAACAACTAGATAATGTATAAATCAGCTGTGGAAATCAGTTTTAATGTGTGTATGTGTCTGATTATTGTTAAATGTCTCTTTTTTTACTTTTTTTTTTTTTAGATGTATAATGTTTCATAAACCCTGGCACTGGTCGCAAAGCTCGGCTGTGAAAATGAAATTTGTAGTATTTTTAAACATGAATGTCAATTTCAAGTGTATTTGAAATGGTTCCTCCAGGAGAGAGATTTGTGCACCGTTAGGAAAATCTTCTCTGCAGAGGAAGTAGCCTGCTTTGGAGAAAATGGAAAATGGGTTCTGATATGTTATCTCAAAATAGCCCATTTCCTAGGGCACCAAGGAAAACACAAATGTGATCTTTAAGTATACCTCTTCCCCAGTTTGGGGAGGAAAGGACTCAGTTTGCACCCTTTTTGTATGTAAAATAAAATGTCTTAACTTTCTTGGCTACTTCTCATTGTTTGTTTGGTTGATTGGTTTGTCTGTTTTTAATCTCCCTTGGCTCGTTTGTAATTAACAATCTAGCTGGGACCAATTTTGATGTGATTAAAGGCTCCTGTGAACAAAAATAAATGCCTGATAATTTGGCATTCTTGCTTCATTCCTTTGGATTAAACATTTCTCCCGCTTCGAGTCACTTTAAAAATAAATATTGCTGTATCTCGTCAAGTACTGAAGAAAAAATTATTTTTTAATGAAGAAATAAATATTGGTCAGGCATTGGTGGCTTGTGCCTGTAGTCCCAGCACTCTGGGAGGCTGAGGCGGGTGGATCACTTGAGGTCAGGAGTTCGAGACCAGCCTGGCCAACATGGTGAAACCCTGGCTCTACTAAAAATACAAAAATCAGCCGGGCATGGTGGTGCATGCCTGTAATCCAAGCCACTCAGGAGGCTGAGGCAGGAGAATTGCTTGAACCTGGGAGGCGGAGTTTGCAGTGAGCCAAGACCAAGATCTCACCACTGCACTCCAGCACAGGCAACAGAACAAGACTTTGTCTCAAAATAAATAAATATTTCTGGAATAATTTGGACATTATCACATGTTAGTACCTGTGTCCTTGTTGTTCTCAGGTGGTAGAACACAGGAAATCAGGATCTTCTTTGTGGAACAACTTTAGTAGCTTTATAATTCTGCTCTACAAATGAGGAACATGTGTCCAGACCCGACAGAACTTTGATGAGTAATGTGAAACCACACATGCATATGTAGCCAACAAAATACTGTCAATCTGAGCATGACTGAATCCTTCCAGTTTGTTACTACTCCTTAATCATTTTTTCACAGGCAAGTAGCAGCCAAAGAATCATGAGAGAAAAGTTTCACATTGAGAGCCTTTTATCCATCAACCTGATTTTTTTTATTTTGAAAGTAGAACAAAAACCTGGAACCAACCCAAATGCCCATCGACGATAGACTGGACAGGGAAAACGTGGCACATATACGCCGTGGAATATTATGCAGCCAGCAAAAACGATGAGTTCGTGTCCTTTGTAGGGACATGGATAAACCTGGAAACCATCATTCTCAGCAAACTGACACAAGAACAGAAAATCAAACATCGCATGTTCTCACTTATAGGTGGGTGTTGAACAATGAGAACACATGGACACAGGGAGGGGAGCATCACACACTGGGGTCTGTTGGGGGGAAATAGGGGAGTGACAGTGGGGGGGGAGTTGGGGAGAGAGAGCATGGGAGAAATGCCAGATATAGGTGAAGGGGAGGAAGGCAGCAAATCACGCTGCCATGTGTGTACCTATGCAACAGTCTTGCATGTTCTTCACATGTACCCCAAAACCTAAAATGCAATTTAAAAAAAGGGAGTGGGAGAAAGGCTGCTGTAATGCCATTTTAGCCTTAGCTCCTCATATGCAGGAGGCTACTTGGGTTTTTTGAGTGTTTCCTTGTTTTTGAGACAGGCTGGAGTGCAGTGGCATGATCACAGTACACTACACAGGAACTGCAGCCTTGACCTCCTGGTGATTCTCCCACCTCAGCCTCTGGGGTAGCTGGGACTACAGATATGCACCACTACGCCCTGCTGATTTTTGTATTTTTTGTACAGACAGTTTTCATCACGTTGCCTGGGATCAAACTCCTGGACTCAAGCCATCTGCCTGCCACAGCCTCCAAGGTGCTGGGATTACAGGTATGAGCCATTATGCCCAGCCGGAGGCTACTTTGAAAACATGATTTGGTAAACATTTTTCTCTGGCTGTGGCAGCCTGAGAGCAGTGAATGAGGAAAGACACTTAACAAAATAGGGGAAAAAAAGGGGGGGGGATGAGAGATGGATTTGGAAGACATCTTTGTCAATATAACAATTTTTTTTTTTTTTTTTGAGACGGAGTTTCGCTCTTGTTACCCAGGCTGGAGTGCAATGGCGCGATCTCGGCTCACTGCAACCTCCGCCTCCTGGGTTCGGGCAATTCTCCTGCCTCAGCCTCCTGAGTAGCTGGGATTACAGGCACGCACCACCATGCCCAGCTAATTTTTTGTAATTTTAGTAGAGACGGGGTTTCACCATGTTGACCAGGATGGTCTCGATCTATTGACCTCGTGCTCCACCTGCCTCGGCCTCCCCAAAGTGCTGGGATTATAGGCGTGAGCCACCACACCCGGCCCAATATAACAATTTTTAAAACTTCCACCTGATTGGGGTTGTCTGAATTGAGGTGCAAGGATGGGAAATAACAAGATAACTGTCTTGAAGCTCTACAACGTGACTGTAAGGCCACTGTAATGAAGGACAAAGTTGGCCGGGCGCGGTGGCCCACGCCTGTAATCCCAGCACTTTGGGAGGCCAAGGCGGGCGGATCTCAAGGTCAGGCGATCAAGACGATCCTTGCTAACGTGGTGAAACCCCGTCTCTACTCCACATACAAAAAAATTTGTGGGAGGTGATGACACGCCGCTGTAGTCCCAGCTTCTCGGGAGGCTGAGGCAGGAGAATCGCCTGAACCTGGGAGGCAGACGTTGCAGTGAGCCGAGATCGTGCCATTCATTGCACTCCAGCCTGGCGACAGAGCAAGACTTTGTCTCAAAAATAAATCAATAAGTGACGAAGTTAATGCCAGAGGCCCTGCATAACTTCAGCCTCAGGTCAGCACCTCATGAAGACTACATGGCATAATTTATGGAAATGGAACCCTGCCTACAATCTATGCTGTGAGGACCTGGAATGTCTACGAAGTCAATCTTTGAAAATTAGTTTTAAAGACTTTTTAACGCCATAGGTCCAAATTTTGGAAGCCTGTCTTTTGGTTTGTTTTGGTGTGTAAGAGTCCCAGTACCAGAGCATGTTGTAGAATGGGACAACAAGTGTGTTAAAACCGAAAGTAGCCTCGTGGGAACTTCTAGTAACTAACCCTGACCTCTGGAAAAAAGGCACTGTATCTTCGGGCCGTGGCATACATGATTTCTCATGTCAGTGCGGATGTGAAGCTATTCCGCCCGGGACTTGTTGGGCACACAGTACTGCAGGGCGGTAAGGGAGCTGTGGACAGAGTAAATGCCACACAGCCCCTTACGCGGAAAAAGTCTACTGGGGAAATCAAACAGGTAAAGGAAGTTAAGAACAGCGTATACAATAAGGTGTGCATTGATTTATACATCGGCAAGCAGAGCCAGATTACAGAAGGGAGAGAAAAATCGGTAGTAGCAAGACAAGTAGAAGCGGCCGTACAAGGTCATGCTCGGGAAGGATAAATGCGCCTGGAGCGTTTGGAAGCTACACGCTTAGAGCCTATTTGGTGGTGACAGACACTTGACTGGCCCAAAACAGGCAGTGATAGGCGTCCCGTGCCCCTGTCCAGGCCCACGTTATTTGCTATCCTCAAACGCCAGCGACCGCAGGCCAGCGGAACAGCGCTCTGGGCCGGGCGGGCGGCCCGCGGGGCATGCCGGGGCTTGTGGTCCTTTCGTAGCGCCGGCCCGCGCTCGGCGGGGCCGCCTTCCGCCGGTGGCCTTCCTGTGGGTGGGAGAGGGCGGCCGGGAGCCCAATGAGGGAGCCTTAACGTGGCAGCCACCCACGAACCCGCGTCGGTGCCCGCCCCGCATGAGGACCTACTATCCTACAGCGAGCCGGAGGGGGGAAACGGCGCCCGCCGCCCGCCCGGAACCCGCGAGCAGCCCCAGTCCCCCCCGCCCGCGCGTGGGGGCGCCGGCGTTCTAGCCTCCGCGGCCCCACCCTCTTCCGGCCTCGGCTGTCCGGGCCGCGTTAGCCTCCGCCTGTGGATGCTGCGCCTCTCCGAACGCAACATGAAGGTGCTTCTTGCCGCCGCCCTCATCGCGGGCTCCGTCTTCTTCCTGCTGCTGCCAGGACCTTCTGCGGCCGATGAGAAGAAGAAGGGGCCCAAAGTCACCGTCAAGGTTCGGTGGCGTCCGCGGCATTTACGGTTCCGGAGCTCGGGCCCAGACGGCCTTGGCTTTGGCCTTGGCTCAGCCCCTTCTCCTTCGGCTTCTGTCTGTGGTCTCGTGTCGCCTGGGCCGTCCTGCCCATTCAGTCGGGAGAACGACTCGGACCCACCCCGACACTCCCAGCCCCAGCCCCGAACCCCTCAGCCCCTGCCCTGACCCAGGGAGTTAGTTGGGTCCCCGGATGCCCATCTGGGCTGGCACTGGCAGCCTCAGAGCAGCCTTTTTGAAAACACCCCTCAGTGCTGGGGAGATGGTGAAAGATCACTCCTGCCAGATTCCGAATCATTTCTCTCCTTAAGCCAAATTTTAGCCACTTGCAATTACAGAACACAGTATGTATAGTTCAAACTTAAGTGGTGAACTTAGACCCCCTTTCTTACGGGTTTTTGGTGTTAATTTTTAGAATCTGGGTCGATTCGCTGTTTAGAGCAAATATTGTTAACCTGTAGTCCAAGGAGAACGCTGATAATGGAGCTTTCATCAGATTCTCATAGGAGTTTTACCTTCACCAAAATCGGATCCAAAGCACTTCTCTAAATCTGACTATTCTCTCTCCCATCCTCAGGGCAGCTTCTTGTGCCTTCCCTCCCCCAGCAATGCCTCTTTAAAGAAGCTAAGTTGGAAATGGTCTCTTTTCTCAGGTGTATTTTGACCTACGAATTGGAGATGAAGACGTAGGCCGGGTGGTCTTTGGTCTCTTTGGAAAGACTGTTCCAAAAACAGTGGATAATTTTGTGGCCTTAGCTACAGGAGAGGTAAGTGGCTGGAGCAGGGGTAGTCAACTCAAACGAAGTGAAGTTGGCACTGGGGATGGCAGCAAACTGACCTGTAGAGTGCCGCCTGTCTGTAGTGTGGCCCTCACTGAGCACCAACTGCCTGTTGCCCTGGGAACCCAGCATTGTCCTTTCTTAAGAGTGAGGGGGCCCTGACCCTGCACAGTGGCTCATAATTATAATTCCAGCACTTTGGGAGGCCAAGGCAGGAAGATTACTTGAGCCCAGGAGTTCAAGACCAGCCTGGGAAACATAG